TGAACTAAACGATCAGTTTCATGCACAATATATATATATGAATTGCTGTTGTTGTATTGCTCTTACTTCAAGTGCAAGATTGCTTTTTCTGTAGTCTTGGTGAACATACGTCAGTCCGGATATATACAATCCATTTGCGAAATTTAACATAGAATGTGTTCCAATAATGTTACCTGGAAAGAAATTGGAATTAGATTCACAATTTTCATTTTATTATTTAATTCGTGAGGTTAAACACTTTTTACCATCACGATCTTCAGCTACAATAATCGCTTCCGGATCCAGTTCATAGAAGGAATAAAGACTGGGTTTGCAATCGTGAAGTTTCAGTGTTTTTCGGATTTCTGCTATTTTAGGAATATCGGCTTCTGTGATGTTCCTCGTTCTATAGTTTCTTTTTTGGTCTGAATAATTTCGTCCTCCCCCAAAACTCTTTCTTTCAACTAAAAATGGAAAGTATAATACACTTTTTGATTGTTACACTATTAGTGTAATAGTTTATTTTAGCGTATATTGAAATCACATAAAAGGTATACAATAAAAATAATAAATGACATGAAAATTATATTTTTAAATTAAATTTTGTATCTGAAAATGATCCAATTTTGAAATGTATACGTTATCTAAAAATCCGTCATTCATTATACATAATGATGTGTAAACTTTATTTACTGCAAAAACATAAAGATAGCAATAAAAGTCAACATGTTTCAAGTGCTAAAAATTAGGAGTCTATTACCGAGACTTACCATGTCGGATAAACTTAAGCTGGAAGTATGCTATGACGCCAAATTATTTCACAAGTTTTTTAAAATCACATGTTTATTTTGTTTAATGTTAGGTGTTTAAAATATGTTTCTAAAAAAATAAATAATTTAAAACCAATGATAAAAGCAAAAAAAGGTATGTGCTAGAAAGCAAAATTTATGGGGAAATGGTATTAATTCATTTAAGAGGAGCATGAAGAATTGCCATAATATTATTCACACTAATGATGCTTAGTTAATGTTGATATTAATAAGTTGTATTTAAAAAGAATAACGTTTGTTTTAAAAAGTAAAATTAATGGAAAAAAAGGAAGTTATTCATTTAGGGAAATCGTAAATAATCGTTATAAAAAATAAGCTCTGTAATAAAAAGCAAATATAATGAAGAATTCGCTTAGGAGAAAAGTAACAAAGCGAATCTTTACACTATTTGCTTTATTCCAACGATCCTTAATTTATTTTGGAAGTAGGCACTACTGGCATTACGGTTACAGTGAAAGCTCTGTTGAACGAACACTCTTGGGGTGAAAAAATTGTCCTCTATGACAGTTGTCCGTTTATGGAAAAAGGTAAACTAATAACTATATGTTTAACGCCATAAATTGTTTCTAGAATAATTGCAATGATATTGAAATATATTTAAATAATCAACAACAGCTATTCACAACGATATTTATTTAAACTTTAAAAAAATTACTTTTTAAATACAAAAATAATAAATTAAAAAATGTGATGAAAATGAAAGATAGTTTAAGACAGGGATGGGCAAACAACGGCCGTTTTATCCAGCCCGCGGATAGAATTTTAATTTGCCGATCCGTGGCAAATATAAACAATATACATTATACATACTTGTCTGCTTTGTTAAAAGCTAGTTTTTTTTTTTTTTAATAAAGTACTGATTGAGTTTTGCAAATCATTACCAAAAGCTAGTTTCCCAATTTTAATATATCATGCCCAGAATATCAGTTCTATGTTTACTTCATCTTATATATGTGAACAAGTGTTTTCAACTATGAATCTTAGAAAAAATCATTTCAGAAGTAGACTAACTGACAAACAATTTTCCTCCTTCCTTAAAATAAGTACATCGAACCTCCATATAAGGAACTTTTAAAAATGATATCGCAATTTCATTCATCTCATTAAATATTTAAATTAAAAATTGTGTATCGTTTCTTTTAATTTCAAAAGTTTTCACTTGGCCCATTAATCTCTTTTTTCAACTTTTGGTCCTCGGCCAAAAACGTTTGCCCATCCCTGGTTTAAGATGTAGCTACAGAGAAATGAATATGTTTCACTTAGTGACACAGAAAATGAAGTTAGTCAATACCGAATAGGCGCTTTGAATCCTATGTCAATTGCTCAATCAGTTTAATTATTAACTTTACCCCCCAATCACCTTCCCATCACTTGATAATACTTCCTTAAAGATAAACCTCCACTATGCAGAGAAAAAAAATAAAGCAGCAGTGCATAACTGCACGGCATGACGCGAAGTTGTTTAATTCAAAATTGATCATCAGTCAAATGTCTGAAAAAATGTTCCCTTTATATAAACGCCATAATGTTAGATTTCTGTTTTCTTGTTTTTTATTATTTTTATTTTTCACCTAGCTGTGTTAAAAACAGTCTTCAAATTGATTAGAAGTAGAAAGAAATTTTATGTGGGGGAGTTAAAAGCCATTAAAGGGTCATTTCAGCTTGTGGGGGGGGGGTCGCATAACCAGTACCTTCCAGATCAAGAGATGCCACTGTCTGAAATATTTCATGTGAGTAGTATTATTTTTTCTCCTTTCATTGCTAGGATAGAGGAAGGTGATAATAGAATGATTAATTCTTCTGCCTTGAACAATATTTTAGTGATGGATAAGGCAAACAATTTACATTTATAACACTTTTTAAAAGCTTCAGTTATAAGACTTTATTAAAAATGTTAAAACACAATTTATACATCGTACAATTATAGGAGATAGTTTCTCCCTTCTAAAAAACACACTACTTGGTTACATTTTTAAAACACATGCCCCCTCCATCTCACTCACCCGTTGCCACCCTCAGCAACAAGTAGAGGAAAAATATCACTATGGTGATTTTGGTTGGTTGGTGCGTGGCCGGAGGCCATAGCGACCAACCCGTTTGTGATACATTCCTTTTTTTTTCTTCTTAGAATTTAAAGCAGGAATAATTTTTGGTTTCAAAATTTAGAAAAATTGGTATCCCGTTGGAAGAGATAAAAAATAACGGTTCAGACTGTCCGGTTATGGGAGTGTCCGCATTGCGGTAAAGGTGCATATTTATAGAAGAATCAAGGAAAATAAAAAATATGAGAGTAGTCCGTTTTTTAGGAGTGTCTGTAAGATGAGGTTTCACTGTATTGTATTAGTATTACTTACTGTTATTACTAAGCTTTTAATTCACGAGTTTAAAACTAAGAAAATAGTTTTTTTTTATTATTGCAATTTAATTCTACTCTACATTTTAAGATAAAGTTATTTAGAAAGGTGGTCTAATCTCATTAACCTTTTTACAAATATTACTTTTAGTGAAAACTACATCAATACACTGTTATAAATAACAGTTAAAGAGATCTGTTAAATGAATTTGAACTAAACGATCAGTTTTATGCACAATGGGATGCATGCACAAATTGTATTTAATATATCCTATTTGGTAAGCGAAAATATTAAATAATGTGATTTTATACTTTCGTGATTAAATTATGTGATTTACGAAATTTGTTTGAAAACTCATCGATCATTTGCTTGAACAACATTTATAACAATATAAATGTTATTTTAAGAAATGATTACTTAAAGAAATTACCCCTGTTTACCAATAAATCCAAATATTTATTATACTAAAAGATAATAATATTTGGACATAGGTAGTGGAAGCACAAGCGTAATCAAACAGAATTGCTTTTAGTATATACATGAAAGTGAATAACTTTAGTAGAAAAACTGTTTTCTGCAAATGAACGACAATTATTGCGAAGCAATCACTGGGGTTGGTGAGCGGTTGAGAACAGCTTGCTTAGTCCTCTAATTCTAATATAAATTTTAATCAGCGATTCAGCTGTTGAAACAATGATCTAGAGCAGCGGTTCCAATTTTTTTTGACTTGTGGAACCCTAAATGATAGAGCACTTTTGGCAGAACCCCAAGATGTAATTGATAAATTTCATCAGCAATTTTGAATACATTAATTAATGGAAGACTCTTAATTATTTTGGAATTGTGTAATGATCAAAATTTTATTAATTATTTTAAAAATATTTGATGAATGAATGAAAAAGGAAACTTTTTTTAATAAGTCGTTTTATCAATATTAGTCTTAAAATTGTTTTTTTATGCCAGACAGTTGAATTCGCAGGACTGTAACGGCATCTAGTAGAGTTCTTAATTTGATTTTAATGCATGCATAAACTGAAAATGAATAACTAAAAAATGTTTTACATTAACATAAAGTAAATGCAAACTGCAAATTTTAGTATTCTTACATTTTCGATAAAAATTACGAATATTTTAGTTGAATTTACTTTTCATGTTATAAAATAAAAGGAGAATAAAAAAATTATGAAATCATAATTGTTAAAGATAATGAAATTGTGCAAAAGTATTATAAAAAAATAGCTTGATATCAATATCCTACACGCACACATACATCGGAAGTCTCTTATTACTGGATAGTAAATATTTATGAACATGAAATTATTGCAAATGATACATTTGCACATCTTCTTAATTTACTTTCCACCTTACAACTTAAATTTTCAACTTAAACTAACTTACTAGCAACTTAACTTGCAGCTTTTCAACTTAAAGATACTTATCTTTTGAATTTACGAATAAAAAGATAACATTTCCTTTATTAATAGCGATTTTCCGAAAAATTCTGTTCTTTTTCTTGTTTTTTTTTAAAAAAAAATAGTTCTTTAATATATAGAATCAGAAGTGTTCAAATGGAATTAGTTCGGCTTGTGATAAGTTATAATCTAAATCAGTGTCATAATATTCTATTGACAAATATTTTTGTCACTGCATTATAAATTTTTGTCGAAATAAGTTTTACCACATACGAAACTTCTTGTCTTTTTTTTAACCAAATTGAGTGAAAATGAAGAAAAGTTTTTCCATTTTTTCTATCAACTCTTTATCCGTAAACTAGACCAAAAGCGTTACAGATGGACAGAGGCGAAAAGGAATGCATGGATGCCTGGCGAAAACACTTTGATTAGATACTCTAGGGAAAAAAGTAAGAAAATATGCATAACGCTCTGGAGAAGGCAAAAAGAAAAAAATACTTGTTAAAAAAATAGATTTTTAAGACAATTTTTTTCCAGTTTTTTAAATGTAAACAGCATTTAAATTTTAATATTGTAAACCTTCGTCTTTAAATTTGATTAAAAATAATATTTTATTCTTCATTAAAAGTTGACTTTATGATAAAAATAATGGTTTTTAAAATGTTACTGTCTTTTGTCTTCTATTGAATAGAAATGCCTCTTTTGACAGGATTCTTGGGGTTGTTTCCGCCGTTGTCACTTTTACAGCATGCCACAGGGAACGGAGCAATTTCCCGTCGCACAATGAATCACCGTTGATCCCTCAGCCATCAGACTGACAGAGAAAGGTCCTTTAATAATCTGAGAAGGAAGGATGATTTTTTGGATGAGAAAGCTTTTAGATTATTACTTAAAAACGGCTCATAACTGTATCAGTTTACCTGTTTCTGTCAGTCACAGTGATTCAAGGGTTGGCGCGCTCACCTCAGCTGACTTAGGTTCAAATTTAAGCTATGGCTGGTCGATCTGAATTCTGATCTCTATCACTCGCACTGATTATAGTTAAAATAAACTCAGTGGTAGGCGAATAATGCCATCGTGCTACTCGCGGAAGTTTACGTGGTTTGCCTCTTTATGCAACGCAACTGAGGGTTAGTTCCACCAAACAGTCCTCCAAGAAGGCTAGTTTGTCCCAATGCTTAATCAAAGTGTTTCCTTGTCCTCAAGATTGGGTTAAAATTACAAGGAGCTAAACTTCGATAGTTTTAAACCAAAAAAAAAAAAAAAAAAAAAAAAAAAAAAAAAAAAAAATGAGTAGGCTGTGGAACGCCCGTTATTAAATAAAATAAACTGTTTGCGTCCTTGCGCTCGCTCTCATGTTGTTTTGAAATTAAGCGTAAATAAAGACTTAATGATACTTAAAGAGATCATCATTGATTCTATCTACAATAGAGATAAAATTTTAATTTCAAAATCCATGAGTATGGAAATGATTAGTTATAACTTAATTTATTTTTCAAAGAGTGTTATTTCCTGGTCAAGAGAAACAGTTGATTTAAGGAATATAATTTAAGATAGTAAAAGATGATATACTCCGGGAAATTATTTGCGAAAGTAGCTAATGCAAAGTTTGCCAAAAACTGCTAGAAATCATCTGAAATTATTACTAGAATTGTAATACTCAAATATAATCACCTAGAAAAGTAGGAGCATTCCATGAAAGATCTGCATCCATGTCAAAAATAGTTTATACGAATAGCAGCATTATTAAATAAAAATGTATATGAAACAAAATTGTATACTGTTTGTTTTATAGGAATTAGAATATTTATTTCTGATTACTAATTCTAAATCATAATATTACTTCTAATTTAGTTCTAGTTTATAATTTTTATTCAAATTTATTTATTCAATTTCATAATATTTATTCGGAATCATTAATTTTATTTCATAACTTTTATTCTAATTCATTAATTCTAATTTTATTCTTATTCATTACTTCTAATTCATAATTTTATTTTATTTATTCTGAAAAAACTTACCCCTTATAGATTTAAATAGATCACCAAAAGGTGTGATATACCTCAAACTAAATCTAAACATTTCTGTGGAATTTGAAAAAAGCTAAGAAATGCTCTACAAGAGAGCTAAAAAATTCTACAGTTTGAATTCCATAAAAAAAGGCAACGGAACTAATAGTATTTGCACAACTGGTGTATTAAAAAATATTTTACTCGTACTTTAATGTTCCTGAAAGTGATTATTGTATAGTGCGCAAAAAGAAACAAAAAATAACTTCTCAGAATGACTTTTGATCTAATGTTCGTATCTTCACATACAAGGACTAAATCTGAATGGTTTGGAGGGGTGGTAGTCTCAAATATGCTAATTAGTGTATATGGTATTTTAAGTTACGAAATCAGACACAAAATCGTACTTTTTCTGAAACATAACCTTGGTTTCGACCGATTTGGATTTCTGACCTTAAAAATAGTTAAGGAAAATAGGGTTCAAATAGTTAGAAGAGCGGTCAAAAGTTTGGACCCCTTATTTTCAATTTTACCTTTAACGTATTTTACCATATCTCGAAAATTTTTTAAGGTAGCAGTTTTTTTAAAATTCAATTTCTCATTAACTATTTAACCGATTTTGCTCAAAGTGTGAATTTTGCCATGAGAAATTACATTCTTCAAAGTGATTTAAAAAATTCTATACTTTAAAATTCAAATTTTTTAAAGAATGTAATTTTATACGGTAAAATACAAAATTTGAACAAAATTAGTCTAATAGTAGCGGAAAAATGAACTTTCAAAAAAGACCGATTTTGTTCAAATTTTGCATTTTGCAAAATAAAATTGCATTCTTTAAAATGATTCAAAAATTAGCATGACTTACAATTGAAATTTTATTTGACCATTTATAAATAAAATAACAAAAAATATATAATTTTTAAAAATTATTTTATTCTTTCTCGAATTATCTTTAGATAAACAAACTGTATAATTGTTTTTAAAACTTTTTCGACTCACTTTAAAAATTTATGAGATGTGGTGAAATATGAAAAAAGTAAAATTACTATTTTTTTACGGCTCTTTTGACCAAATTATTGGGAACATTTTCCCCAGATACCTTTGAGGGGCAGAAATTATTTGGAGAAAGAACGTTTTAGCGTCTTATTTCGTAACTAGTTCTATAGACGTTAATAATGGTAAGAAATGACTATAATTTAACGCATGAAAGTGCTTTCTCTCAAAAATGTACTTAAATTTTTTATGGGTTCATACTTATAGCAGTCTAAGTACGGTGGGTACGGTTAGCAACAATGTGGAAAACATTGTCTCAACCATTTGGCCAATTTCACACATACTTTAAAACTTGATGCTTAAAAATAAGTTTAAAATACTGTAAAAACATACACTGATTACAATTTACTAAAATTGTATAGGATGTCCAAAAAGTAAGCAAATTGTCTTAAATCTGAAAAGAATCTGATTAAAAATCTAAAAAAACATATCTGAAGTATTTTGCAAAATTCCATTTATTAACACCATCCAACTAAATCCCTTGAAGCTCACTCTTTGAACGAGAAATAGACACCTTTTTAAAATTTAAAAATTTTATTTCCAAGTTTGGGTCCTTTGGAAAAAAAAAACGAGAAAAAAAGACTTTTCACTAGTAGGGCTTTGAATTCTAGTCAACAGATGGGGTTGTAACTGCAAAATGAAAATGAAATAAAAATTGATTAACATAGAAACATTTCGAAAAATGTCTGTCATATCGAAAATAAATAAATAAATAAATAAAACAGATTTTTTTTGTTTGTTATTTATAGCACCAATATCAAGTTTGATGTTATCAGTTTAGAAGAATCCCCCAGGATGGATAGCTGAAGAAATAGAATGACCAATGAGGAAACACAGTCGATTCGAAGTTTTCTTAACTGCAACCAACGACAGTGCAGACGTAAAATATTCTCACTGGTAGACTCTCCTTGCCTTCAGGCTAACAGTGGCAGGTTTTCTTCTTAACACGAGCTAGTTCCCCCAAAAGTCCTCCAATGCTTCATCCAGGAGTACCCTTGTTTTTTGAGTTAGATTATAAAGCACAAATGGTGAAATGTGATAACCTTAGATCCAATATAAATCAGTTGCCTACGATCGTTAATGAAGTGAGACGCTGTTAAATTAAATGAAATCCAATCTAAATTCAATAAAAAATTCTATAACGATTTAATAAGAATTCGATTACGATTTGACACAAGTTCGATAAAATTCGATATAAATTTTATAAAATGTTATAACGATTCGATATATTTCATTACGATGCGCTATAATTTCGATAAAGATTAGATAACGATTCAATCTAAATTCTAAGACAGTTCAATAAAATTTGATAACAATTCTATATAAATTCGATATCAATTTGATATACATTTGATAAAATTTATTAAAAATTCGATATAAATTCGATAACGATTACGAAATCTTTCGTATAAAGATTTTAAAGAGTTAAGGAAACAACTGACTGAGGTCAGGGCTAAAGAGAATAGAAGGGCTGGTTCACTCCTTTGAAGTATCTCTTGCCGCGCCGATCCTCCGACGTCACTCTAGTAACGTCACTTTGGCGCAAAGCTCGCACTTTTACTTCAAGAACGGAGCGTTTGGCCTTACTAGCTCTAACTAATATTGGATCATTTCTTTTTGC